AGGCTGTCTTCACCTCTCCTCATGCACTGACCAGAGGATTTTGACGAAGTTTGTAATTAGATAATTGTTTGGTGTAGATTGTTTTTGTATTGTATCTAGTCGTTTTTGTTACACATTTCTCGATAAATTTTGCAGAAAAATTGTATTTTGGAATTAGTAAGGTATTGGTTCTTCGTTCACATTGCTATGAAGACCATAATCAGACTGAATGGGTTAGACATGTGGATGGTACAGATTTGAGGCAGTTTCTTTGAAAAATGGTTCAAGAAAGTATTATGGGAATTCCTTTGGTTATTGAATCTTTTTTCGACATTGTTTAGATGATTGCAACTTTGAGGACTATATATGTGGTTCTATAGATTCGCAGAAGGTGTTCACTTTCTTACTTGTGTCCATGCGTGACAAATCTACCATTTGCATTTTCTCCTTCACCTCCTTGAAGATTTCAATGAATATTTTATAGAGTTCAAGTGTGTTGGTGTGTATGCGCAGTATGGTTTTCTTCTGCGTGTTTTTGGAGACATTTATATTACAAATTGTCCATCATGTAGGCATTAAAGGAATTCATTCGTCCTTGTGTCGTCTTCCCTACTGCTTTGTACATTTTATTGTAATTTGCAGACTAGATAAGTGGCTTATGTACATGATAGGTGCGCAATAAAACGTAACTTGTTACCTCTGGACGATTTAGGGATAAAGTTCTTAACATATTGTAGCAAGCGATGTATTTTGTGGGATTCAGCCTGTCAAATGTTTTTTCACCCACAGTGCTTAGACGACTCAAACATTTAGGCTAGCTATGTGCTTGGTTTACCTTTTTTCTCAAACATTTTTATGGGAATGGATTTATGAAAAAAAAACTGTAAAAAGGGGATAACTTAGGGAATTATCTTTGCCGGCGTCCCTTCGTCTATCATATATGTTGGCGCATTGGACTTTTTGGACACAGACAGCTAAATCATTATCGAGTGTGGTAAATTGACATTGCCCATAACAAAGGACAATACCACTGAATTAAATACATTGATGATGGTTATGATGTTCTTTAAAATTTCAACAGAATTTCAACGCTAGTGTTAATGTTATATTCTGAGAGTTACACTTACGTTATAGAAAAGCAAAATGTTCTTTAGAAATATTTATTGCAAGTTAAAACATATGTTTTACGAAAGCTCTGAGGACCTCGGTACAAACAAATAAATACTGTTATGTGTCCCTTGGGCGGTAGGAGGACACCTATGACCTCATTACAGGTTTCCAATTCGGCATGTTTCCATTGCACATATGATATAGTATCAACTCTGTGGTCTCCTAATATTTGCTTTTGAATCAAATCCTTAATATAGGTAATACGTAAGTATACTATAATAAGAACGACTTTAGTGACAATAAATTTATTTGGCATGTTGTAGCCTTCTTCCTGACAAGCACAATCCAAAAGTATAATGTAATCCCCGTTCAATGTTATTGACCCAGCTATGACTATTATCAAATGTTACACGTATTATGCTTTAGCCTGTCAGAAAACCATTCAAGTTAACTTAAACCCGGAGACTAAAAAAAGGTGGCCAAAGTATCACGGACAACAGTCACCAGGAAGTAACTTCGTTTGTCTAGCAAATATAACTTACGACTAAATAGTATAAGTGCCAGCAACAATCTATAAATAGTCAAATTATTGCCAGCTAACTGGGTGATTCTTTCACTCCATAGTGAACCAACAAATTAAGCTTTATTACTACCATTCATAAAGAAATTTGTTTTCAAGCCTAATATCTTAAAACCTGTTTTGTAACGTTAGACACGTATTTATGAGTGCTCATATCGTCAGATACAGATATATTAAATAGTCGTATGTGCCGCAGTGCAAATTATATATCACCCATCACCACCGGTAGTAATATTTGTATGCACCTTAACATGATGAATGTCAATGGATGTTTCAGTACGAGAATTACGTACACTTTTTTGTAAGTTTCCTTAAATATTTAAATAACTTTATTGCAAGTCCCAACCAGGCGTAAGTGCAAAAATTTTCTTAAGTATCTTTGTGGAGGACGAGAGAGAGAGAGAGAGAGAGAGAGAGAGAGAGAGAGAGAGAGAGAGAGAGAGAGAGAGAGAGAGAGCATTTTAATATATACCGTATATTAGGTTTTCTTTTTTTAAAAAAAACTTATTTTTTACCATATTAATAAGCATTTTCTGTAAAGAAAATATAATACGAAAAAATTATATGCGTATGATACATTCTAATGTTTCGATTAGTTGAAATATATGACCAAATTAGACATTAAATCAATAATGTTATTGAAATTACTTTAAAAAAATCACTGAAGAAAAAAATTATAATGGAGAAAAATCTACAACGGTAGACCCTGTTCTTTGTTCATAACTACTTTTAATTACGCATTTTATTTCTGCTGTTTACATGTGACGCTGTCAACATTTATACTCCTTACCAGCTGTCTTTAATAAAACAAATGAAAAAACAACAACTCAAAACAGTCCATACAGTAAAGGATCATAAATAGTATTACCATCATCAGATAGTGTTTTCCTCAATACACGGAATTAATTAATAGTTTGATAATGGATAATAAGAACTCTTTCATATTGACTCTGTGGTTCTTAGATATAACAATATGTGTTAGCTATAGCAAGAAAGTAACATAACAGGAGCATTTGTGTTACTGAAAAATACTTAATATGGAAGTACAAAATGTTTGGCATTATTCGCAACATATGTATAGTATTTATTTCTGAATGGATATGACACAAAATTTTCATTTAGACACAATGCATGATACGACAAGGATACTATTTTACATATTCCACTGGTTTATTATGGTTTATTATGATTCCATATTGAAATTAATGAACTATTCTCACATGCTTATGATCCTACTTCATTTGAAATCACATATTTGTAGAATGATTCATCAATGATTTTCTGTAGCATCTTAGTCTTTTGGAATGGGTTTCACTGGGCAAGACAGCCTTTAAATAGTATTCCTTAAACAGTAATTTTGCTTGGATTTATTGGAAATAGGTGTCATTAGTAGAATAAAGGAATTAAAAATATTGGTATTGCTATTGTTATAGATTACATTTATACTAGAAATTTAAGAAATTTATTGGAAACTGTACCAAAAACAATGACGTCATTGTTAGTAACAGCATTTGGCATACAAAACCGTTCCGGTTGTTAAGAAATGTATTACAAATTCAGCGACAGACCTTACCAAAAAGGCCTTATTTTTCATCGTCGATTTAATCACATGATAATAATTAATATTAAAATGATAATGGTAACATTTGGTTTTAATATTAATTATATAGTTCTGTGTCACTTTTCTAAGCTTCATCTTGCTTTTTCCTATCTTCATTAAAACTATTATCAACATCATCCTCATTATTACGTAGTAGTAGTATTGTTGTTGTTGTTACTATTCTTATTGGTAATGGATGTAGTTTAATAGCACAACAACAGTAGTGATAACATTAGTAGTAGTCCAGAATATATATATATATATGTATATATATATATATATATATATATATATATATATATATATATATATATATAAAAATATATATATATATATATATATATATATATATATATATATATATATATAAAGAATACAAATCATATGGCGAATAACAACCCTCTCAAGCGTACTGGATCCACCAAGGGATCACGTCTGTCAGGGATTAATTAAAATAGATGCAATAAACTGACGACGAACAGTACGAAACTAGTAACTAACTAGCCTAAGCGCTTTCGACTCTTAATGAGTCTTTTTCAAAGGCAAATACAAAACATGATTACGACAAACAAATAAACACAAAAACGTTGCGTTTGTAAACCTCTACATTTCTATCTTCACATGTGCTAAAACTATAAATACAACCAGCTTGTATAGACTAGTTGCGGAAACTGAAAACGTTGTATAATTCCCTAAAAGTCTACAAGCCAAATAGATGTCGCTTTGGCTTGTAGACTTTTAGGGAATTATACAACATTTTCAGTTTCCGCAACTAGTCTATACAAGCTGGTTGTATTTATAGTTTTAGCACATGTGAAGATAGAAATGTAGAGGTTTACAAACGCAACGTTTTTGTGTTTATTTGTTTGTCGTAACTATGTTTTGTATTTGCCTTTGAAAAAGACTCATTAAGAGTCGAAAGCGCTTAGGCTAGTTAGTTACTAGTTTCGTACTGTTCGTCGTCAGTTTATTGCATCTATATATATATATATATATATATATATATATATATATATATATATATATATATATATATATATATAATGAGAGAGAGTGAAATCGATCATGAGAGATGATAAATAAAATGTATAATATAATATATAATATCCATTTTGAGATTGCTTACACTACTACACTACTTCCTAGTAAGAATGATACACTACTACACTACTTCCTAGTAAGAATGACATTCGATAGAGTTTCATGTCGGTGGGGTCCGTTTGATCAATACAGCCTGTTATAATCACAGCGTAAACAACAGCCCAATTTATAAAATATCTCTAGACAGGCTGTGTTGCTAATAAAACTGGATTCGCTAAGAGGCTATGTGTCTATGATAAGTGGCTAGAACTAGAAAAGCGCACTTATCTCAGATTCTTAGCAAACCGGAACAAGACGTTGTTATTTGAAAATTGCATGAACGTGCCTGTGATATTTAGTTACCCTAGCTGATTAACAGTAGTATTAATTTAGGATTTATAGAACTGCCAAAATATGTAAGTGATCTGGATTTTTAACGTAAACGTTAACATTTGTTCAGTCATCTTGTTACGATGTCTGCAGTGTGACAGTTTATAGTGATGTCCTGTACTGGGTCATCATAACGAAGACAAGTGGAATCATCTCCTACCCTGTCACATTATCCTGACACCAGATCCACTAGTCCTAACACTAATCTATTAATGCTGAGTGCCAAGCGAGGATGTAAGTACCATTTTGGAGTCTTTGCTATGACTCAGCCGGGTTCGAACCCGCTACCTCTCGCATCCAAGGCGGACGCTCTAACCACTAGTCCACTGGAGTCAATTATATTGCAACTAACTCGGATTAAATGCAGTATATATTCTCCTTCTTTTCTTATTCTTGAGAATTGTTTTGTCTTTCTTAAACTTTATGATCTCTTCTTCTTCTTCGTGTATTATATTACCTGAAACTTCCATGTTGATATTTTGATCCAATGACATATTGGTACCCGTCATTATACACATGACATCTTCCTCCTCTTCAGTAACTTTATCATCACCCTGAGCTGCAAGAATATTTTGTAAAAAAAAAGCTAAGACACAAAAGCAGAACCAGGATGAAGCTCAAAAGTTAATTTAAAGAATTTCCAAGTTGTCCACAAGGTAAAATCTGTTACAACAGGTTTATCCTTAGGGAACACCAGTGTCATAGACCCAGACCAAATAAACATATTTACATTAATAATGATTTAAATGCCTAATCTACAATCATATCAAACATATTAGATATGTATTCCGTTGTTTAGAATATAAATGCTACAGTTAGGTACAACATGAACTTGATTTTGGACAAGGATCTAGTCCAAAATAAAATCATACGTATAATCATGGAGAAAAAACTAATAAACAATACAAATTAAATAACAACTTTAACATGACAATACTCACATAGATCGGGGTGGAGATTGGCAAAGTGAAGGCTGGAAACATTTTGGAGAAGAAAAAAAATTACACGCAACCCATAAACATATTTCGCTCCCAAAAATGAAATAGTTGATCCTAAATTCAAATGGCTACTTTATTTTTTTTTTTTAAAAAAAGCCAGCACCTATCCCTCCAGGCGTCAGATTCCCGAAACCCAGAATAAAATACAATGAAAAGCACCGTTCCACCGAGGGCATCACTTTAGACTACGTGGAACAGAACTTAGGATGACGCTAGTTTGCCAATACCAGGCTGAATTGCCTGTGAGTAAAAATTGCGCAAAGACTGTGCTTAGCAGGCGCTCACTAGTTATTGTGTTCTTTTGAGCTGACGTAGGTAAGGTGAAGTTGTTTGCATTTTGAAACATGCAAAGTGTGTGTGTGTGTGTGCGTGTGTGTGAGATGTTTAACGTAACTTTAACAAGTATTCAGTCATATCGCTACGATGTCTGCAGTGTAAGCGTTTATAGTGATGTCTAGCACTGGGTCATCATGCCGCAGACTTGTAGCATGATGTCACACACAGTCATTTTATCCTGACACCAGGCCGACCAGTCCTAACACTGAGCCCTTAATGATGAACGCCAAGCGATGCAGCAGTTAGCACGATTTTTTAAAAGTCTTTGGTATGACTCGTCCGGGGTTCAAACCCGCGACTTCCAGCAGTGGAGAGAATGTTGACATGACTCTATGCTACTATGATACGAAGTGGCTGACATTTCTTTTGATATTCTAATTATGGAAACGTACATGATCTAAGCACAGTGCTAACTAAAATGACTGCTCCCTTGTGCTAAAACAGTCATCCTGAATTAATAAGAAGTACACTATCTTTAGCACCTATCAAAATTGGGTAAAATGAATTTTGCCCAGGTAGACAATACCACATCTGGAAGTACAACGAAAGAATTACCAAATATATAAAATGTAAAATAATTTATAGGCTCTTTTATTCAATTTACGTCTGAAGTCTAGAAAGAGAAAATGACCAAGAGTAGATAGCAGTTTCTTTACGGAATCACGTCTGAAGTAAGGCCAACCTGTATACTTCCTAATCCTTTTTTTGCCCATCATTCATATACCAAAATAAAATGGTTTATATGTTATTTCAACAAAACTTAAGATACGCAGGGCCATTTTTAAATAACCAGTACAAGCAGAAAGGAAATCCGGGGAAATTATGTTCCTGTAAAATTTTAACCAATGCTAAATACGAAACTTTAGAGCGCCACCTTACCCAAGACGGAGTACTTAGCAGATCCCTACTGCTAATGTGAACTGGTGGACGACAAAAGAAAAAAAATAAAATATGTGGATGTCATTGGTGAAAATTTTATAGTGTTCAGTTAGGAAGAAAAGCCAGAGTTTGTACCGCCCGATGAGTCTGGAATGTCATTACTTTAGCATACGTGACAGTCTAAGCTGTCTTAAAATTGTGCAAAGCCATACACCTTTTAATATATCGAGTCTTGTACTTTGACACAGCCAGTTGTATTTACAATCATCACACCACCACCCCACCCACCGCCAAGACAAGATTTTGAGTTTTACTAGCGATGATCCCAGAAATTACGGCTACCAATACCGAAACCGATGAGGACCAATGCATACCAACTTTAAAGTCAAATAAATGACGCTAAATTATCCTGAGAGTCAATTGGTGAACTTCGACGTGCCAAAAAAAGTTCCACAATCTGAAGAGACTCAATACTTTAGTGTGACTATCTTGGAGATGCACAAAATTGTACAGTTACAAAATCTACCAATTGTCCGTCGCCGCTTGTTAAACATCAAATCGTGCACCAGAAACGAGTGAGACTTCCAGACCACAACGCTTTACCTTACGGACAAGCTGAGTCCAAGAAGGACAATTATTACGTAAACCCAAAAGATTATCTTCGCATCCAAATGAATAAAAAAACGACTATCCAAAATATTTAGAACAATGACATACACCTACACAGTGAAATTTCAAATCCCCAGTGCCGCCGTTTATAATAAATTTCACTATTCTTCAAATCTAACTTATGTTTGGAAAGAATGAATGATTTGTTTAAAAGGCTATCTGACATAAACTTTTCTATGAAATAACAGAGATGTTAGGTTTAAACGACGGTCAAATATTCAGTTTAGAGGTGCCACCCCATAATTCAGTACTTGCAGTAGCTCGTAATTTCATTCTTATTTGGAAATACTCTAAAATTAGTGACGTGCTACATTTAACAAATTATGTTTATGGCTAATCTAATAATGACATTCGCAAGTGGCCCACAAATTCATTCGAGAGGGAATGAAGTGAGCCATGCCCGCTTTGCTTAAGCGGAGATGAGAAGAAAACTCTTGCATTAAGTGAAATGAGACTCAGGTGAGTATTGGTCATCAGCAGAACGTCTGGAATGCTTTGAAAGGTCAAATTGGAACGAAGACAATCCGACATAGCGTGTTGTTGGCATCCAAAGTTTACAACGGTAATGTCATTAAATCTTGTGTGCCAGATTTCGAATGAAATCGGTTCACCAACGGGTGTTGCCGATCAACATCGCATTAATTCGTAGAATGTGAAGAAAAAAAACGCTGGGTTTTCTTTCAGTCTGAATTAGAAATGACAAAAAAAACGTCGATATTATCTGGTTTTAATGGAACCCAACAATGTTTGGGACCAAACTATATTTTTCAAGATTCAGTATTATTCAGATAATTATGTTATATACGACATTTTGCACTTAACGGCTGCATTGGGGCTTTAAAGACTTCAAGTTTGAAATTCCACCCGAGAAAGCAGCAGATTTCTTTTCGATATCTAATAGCAGTCTGAACTCTCCTACATGGCTCTGTTTTAGTATACCTGCAAAATCGACTCCATACAAGCTCTTGGACAAAATTGAAGATACTCAAAGGATGAGAGAAAAGTTTGATTCCTTCTTTAGAAAGTGGTATTTCACACGGCACATGTTTCACCACCGTGTGGTAAAGATGATGGCTGCACTTGATATACTCCTCATGCTTTCTAGCAAGTGTACCTAGCATCTTGTATATATGAACAGATTTAAGACTGGAATGGGGTACGCGACTTAAAACAGATTTAACGCTGGAATACAAGTGGTAGCTGTCCAGGCCAAAAATATCGAGTCTGAAGGATAAAAGAAAAACAATAACTTTGTCCTTCTTTATTTTTATTTCTTGTTGTTTTTCTGCTTTTTTAACTTTTTGTTTTCTTTTAACAGATGTACCTTGATTGTAATCGTGTACAAGAAGTTTTTATTTTATGAAATGTGTATATATTGCATAAGAAGAATTATGAAGAAAAGTACATGTCAGTATCCAAGAACCGTTTTCAAAAATATGAATACATTGCAGATAAAAAATTTGTTTCTGACAATATGTTGTAGTATGACTTTGTGTTTTAATATGAATTTATTACACTAAAAAGAAATATGTTTCCTTCCAAATGCATTTTCTTTGCGGCAAGCACTGTATTTATTTTAATGTACATTGGTTACATCTTGAGATATTACCCATGTATAAAACCTTGTAAATGAATTTTCTTTGATATTCCGTTCTCAGTTTTCAACACCACAGCTATGTCTACATCTTCCTTCTCCTCCATTTCCTCTGCTCTTAAAGTCTTTGACGAAAAGGTAGATCGTCCAAGGTGAGAGGCACTATATCTATGTCATTCGCAAACGTAAAAATTGCTGGACCGATTAGTACAGACAAAACTGAATTTGTCCAACGCGTGATCGAACACCAAGAATATTTGATGGATCGTCAACCCCAACCCATATTGGTGTTACAAAGAGTGATAATTGATTTACAATTGGTGACAAAGAATGACAAAGAGTGACAATTGGTTTACACACTCCTTCAAGGAGATTCTATCGTTTTTGCCGAATTCTGTCGTTTTTGCCATCTTCGTGTCAGACGCCAGGATATATTAGAAGACTAAACTAAGACGTAATTATGCCTTTGCATTACAAAAATGAAGCTCATCATTGCATCACTCTCAAAGCCCGTTATGCAGAATTTGTTTAAAAGTTCTAGAGATAAATCTCAAAGACGCATGTTATCCAGAGAGTTAAAAATCCCTAACTCAAATGCCTCATGTATATTCATACCTCTTCAATTTAAAATCTACGACAAGAAAAAAACGACAGCTCCTGCCACCAAGAAAGAAGGTGCTGCTATTAGGATGCAAACGTAGAAGCGACCGTTGCTGCGTATTGTTATTTTCTGGAATATGTAAAAATGAAAACAAATTCACTAGTTTGAAGAAAAAAATTGTTATAGCCTTCTCTATTTCTAACAATGTGAGTGTGTATATGTCAAAATGTCTAAGTGATAAATATTTTGTCATGTTC